CCACTGTATTAGTTTTGTTGTAAATTAAATACATTTTTCTAATTGCCTACTTAAAAAAAAGTATTTAGTTTTAAACTAGAGCTCGCCCCGTGGTTTAAAACTCAACCTAAAGTATGTATTGTGCAAACTTCTTTATTTTAAACCCACGCTGTAAATAAAACTTGTGATTGGAATTTCTTTAACTTGTTTTGATTTTCTGTTTATATTTTGTTGTTATTTCGTCACCAACATGGCAACACATAAGCCCCAAGTTAATAAAAAAAAATTAAAATTCATTTTTGTGCTTATTTTTGAGCCTATTTTAATTTATAAAGAGATTCTGCACATATACAGAAAAATATCTTTCGTTTGGTACCAACCGCATGTAATTCGGTCCAGTATTATGGTCAATCTAGCTGTCATAAGTTTTGCAAAAGTTTTTTAGGGTATATAAGATTTAAAGTTCAATTTTTTTACTGAAAAACTTTTAACAATAAATACTTTGAAAACACTCTTAACAAGGATTAGTTTTTATTTATGGTTTGATTAAATGTTTAACATGATAATTCAAGCGTAATCTGTTTAGTAAAGAGAATTCTCACAGAATATTACTTTTTCTCTCAGCTTTCTGAAGAGGATCTTGGAGATGATGTAAATATACTTTTTTATAGTTAAGGGTGTAACATAGAGCGCAAGAGCCTAGGTTTTAAGATTTTTTGAGAAGATAGCAAGCTTACCTAATTGGGAAAGAGTCCAAACTGGTACAAGAAACACAACTTTACACTATTTACACAAAACATTAAAATATTTCATTGTTACTGACAGCATTTTCAACTAAGGAAGTAGTTTTCTTTATGTCCAAAATGGTGTCCAGTGATTTGTTGTGATAGTGTTGCCAATACAGTTGTATGAATTGAAAAAACACAGTTTAAGTTTATCTCATATACACTGTAAGATGGCACTTTGTGTTTCTTGTGCCAGTTTGGACTCTTTACCATTCAGGTAAGCCTGCTATCTTCTAAAAAAAATCCTACTATTATACAGTGTTTTTTTAAATAGAAAACTATTATATAATAAACAAATATAATAAAACTCTTAATCCTCAACCTTTATTCGCATTCACTCATACCTCAATAGACAATAAATTGTGCCATAAAACTAAATAATTAGTGAATGTAATACCCCAGAAATATATATAGAAACGTTTTATATTTTATCAAGGAAAAATAATTAATACATCCTTTGACAATTACATCAAACCTAAAACATACAACAAGTAACCAAGTCAATTAACATTCAATCAGGTGATGATATAAAACAGTTACTTCTCCAACACTAAATAGCAGTAAATAGTATGCTAGTCTCAGTATTAGTTTCTCGTCATCTGTCTCAAATCAAGTCCTTCTGTTATTTTTGTAGTTTTACTTTTATTTTTATTACTTTTAATTATAGCTTTTAACATTTAAATAAGGACATAGATGAACTTGTAACAAACTTTATTTCTATTCAAACCATTCTTAATTATTGATTTTATTTACATAACACAAAACCAAAAACATATGGTATTAAACTATTAACTATTTGACAGTTTTTAGGAGGCAGAACATTTTGCCATTACACAAAGTACTATAAGTAATTTCAACATACCCCCTTAATGGTAAAATGTTCTCTTTATCTTTAAACTGTCAACATGTCTCTGAATTTGTTGAAGTTTGGATACGTGAGAGGTTTTGTGAACAAATCAGCTATCTGATCATCAGTCGGGCAGTATTTAATTTCAAATTATTGATTCTGATATTTTTCACTCAGATAATGAAATTTCACCTCAATATGTCTTCTTCCTGTTAAACTTAACTGACCAGATTTAATTAGTTTGATAGAACTTTGGTTGTCCACATACAAAGTCACTTTTACTTGTTTTCCCGTTATCTCTTCAATCAAAGTTCTCAGATATGTGAATTCCGTACAGCAATCTGCAGCGGCAATGTACTCAGCCTCTGTTGTAGATTTTGCAACAGTGTTCTGTTTTCGTGATCGCCATGTTATTGGCCCCCCAGCATAAATTATAACATAACCAGTGATACTTTTTCTTTGATTCTTATCACCAGCATAATCAGCATCGCTGTATGCAATAAGTTCAAGTACTTCTTTTTCTCGTTCTTGTGACTTAGAGAACTTTATTCTTCTGTCTTGGGTACCTTTAAGATATCTTAGAGTTCTTTTAACATTCTGTACATCTTCTTTCTTAGGTCTCTCCATGAATCTACTTTCGTAACTAACTGCATATGACAAATCAGGTCTAGTTTTACTTGTGAGATATAGTAAGCTTCCAATAATTTCTCTGTAGTTAGAATTATCATCATCAGATTTTAAATTTTGTTCTTCCTGATTTTGTGGTGATATTGGGGTTTTAACTGACTTGCAATCTGCCATGTTATATTTTTTGAGCACTTGTTTAGCATACTTCTCTTGGGATATGTACAAACCATCATTTCCCTTTTTTAGTTCCATTCCCAAGTATGTTTTAGGATTTTCATTTCTTGTGATGCCAAACTCCATGTTTAACATTGTTATTAAATGCTCTATTCGTTGTTTGTCCTTTCCAAAAACGATACCATCATCTACATGAATTGCAATTATAATTTTTCCTTGGTTGTCTTTAAAAATACATTGATCAGATTTTAGTTGATCAAGGCCTTGTTGTTTCAGAAAGGTTGTAAGTTTTTTATTCCATCGGCATGGTGCTTGTTTTAGACCATAAAGGGCCTTTTTCAGTTTACAGACCTTCCCTTTTTCAGTGTAACCTTCTGGTAGTTTCATGTACATTGTTTCATTTAATTCACCATGTAAGAATGCTGTTTTTATATCAAACGTTTGCATTTCCATGTCTTCTTTAGCAGCAATTGCAAAAAGCAATCTCAGTGCACTTGAATCAACGACAGGACTGAATAAGTCTTTATAATCAATATCATCTGGGTTTTGTTGGCATCCTCTGACCACAAGACGTGCTTTATACCGACCATCTTCCTTAATTTTAAAAATCCATTTAGCTGTAAGTAATTTTTCTCTCTCAGCTTCTTTTTCATCAACCAATTCCCAAGTGTTGTTTATTTTAAGAGATTGTTTTTCCTCTTCTATTGCTTGCATCCACTTATCTCGATCTGAACTTTTCATCGTTTCACTATATGTCATTAGCACTTGGTCTTCCTCAAAACAGTAGTCTTCATATCTTTTGGGCTTTTTTATCACTCCTCTTGGCCTAAGGTTGTATCCTTCTTCTTCCATATTTTGATCCAGGTTTCTATCTTCATTTATAACTCCGCTTTGTCTTTCATCATGTACTTCTTGGCTTTCTCTAGGTCTATCTTCATATATTACTCTTTGGTGTTCTCTTGGTATATCTTCATTTATTACTCTTTCTTCACTTTCATCACGTACTTCTTGTTGTTCTATTATTTCATTTTCCCTTTCATTTATTTCATGAGGTTCTTCTACTTCACCTTCCCAATTACTGTGTTCTTCATTTGCTTCTTCAAATTGTTCAAATATTTGTTCATTTTGTAATTTATTTTCTTTGTTTTCACAGAAAAATTTAGATGTGAAGATCACATCTCTACTTACAAATGTCTCTCTTCTTTCTGGATCCCATAGCCTGTATCCATTCGTGGCGTATCCAACAAACATGGCTTCTTTACTCCTTGAGTCAAGTTTTCTTGAAGGCTTTATAACTTTGGCATATACTTTCTTGCCAAAAATCTGAAGATTACTTAAATTTGGCTTCTTTCCATACCACTTTTCAGCGGGAGTATTACTTGATCCAGTTGAAGGACTTCTATTAGCAAGATAAGCGGCTGTTAACACAGCTTCTCCCCACATCTCTTTGTCACAGTGGGCTTCAAATAATATAGATCTGGCTTTTTTCATTAAAGTAAGATTTAGTCTTTCAGATTTCCCATTCAGTTGTGGAGTATATGGAATTGTAAAATCAATTTGGATACCTTTCTTTTTACACCAATCAATGAATTCTACATTTTTGTATTCCCCGCCATTGTCACATCTTAGTTTACTGACTTTCAGATTGAAATGAGCCTCAGCTTCAGCGATATACTGTTTAATGTACATTGACACTTCACCTGCTGATTTTGTACTCAACAGATACACTTTACAAAAATGTGTATAATCATCAAGCAATGTCAAAAAATAATTCTTACCATCGTATGTAGGAGGATCAATGGGACCACAAAGATCACTATGTATTATTTGTAGTGGTCTTTCAGCTCTTTGTCTCACATTTTTGAAAGGTAATCTTACCTGTTTAGCCTTAGCACACACTGAACAGTCCAAAATAGTTTTATTCTCCTGTTTTCCAAAATGTATACCTTCACACATTTCAGGAAGTTCTTGCAGTTGCTTACGATTTAGATGACCCAATTTTTTATGCCAAGTTTCTAAATTATTACTATCTTGTTCTGACATCATAACAGACTCATTTTGTATTTGTAGTTTCTAAGTTACCTGTAAAAGAATTTATATAATTCTACCTATTTATTTAAATAAAGGAAATATATAATTGACTCGTAAAAGTAAAAAAGTAGATTTAATAACCAATGCTGTAACAAAGAGAACAAGTACCAAGGATCCTTGTGAGGATGGTATTCTCGCCTGAATGGAAAAGAATCCAATATGTTTCAAGTTCTCTCTCCAATTCAGACCGTCCTTGGTTGGAAATGCTGTCACTCTAATACTGCTGTCAATGAAATACTGTCTCTTTTAATGTTTGTATAAAGTGTTACATTTCTTGTGCCAGAGTAGACTTTTTTCTCATGCAGATAAGCTTGTTATTCCGAAAACGTTATTCAGATCCCTGATGTAATTATAGTTGTTTGTGAAAGTGATGTGGCCTTTTTTAATTAACTGTAATATTTTTACACTTTTCAAAAATTAAATGAGCGATACAGACTAAATCATAATAGATGTTTTTAGTTTGATGATTGTGCTAAGTTGGATGTTTGGTGCTGCAGGACAAAGTGGCCCCAGAAGACCTGCGTATCCTAGACGAGTCATCACAGATACTCACCTTGTCTCAGGACAAGTTGACAGCTTGTCAGAAACAACCCACTGACTCACCAGTTGACCAAGACCTACTGACGTAAGCCAGCGTACCGTATCTCAACACATTACGTTAATGACACAACAATTCCTTCTGTATCAGAGCAGCTACAACTTTGCAAAACCGTATTATTACAAATATCAACATGTGATATTATTATTTTATTTCTAGAGAGTTTAACCCTTTTAAGGCCAACCATCATTTGGCGGACATTGCTGAGATATACCCTTAAGGGACAATATGTTTTTTACCCGCTCTGTATAAATTTACTTAAAACTCTATAAAAATTTGTATTTTTCATCTTAAACATATAATATTTTTTTGCTTATTATATAAGTTTTTTTGAGATATACAAAATTTATGGAAGAATGTATCAACAAATTTATAAACTTAAATTTTTTTTCTATTTTAAATTTCTTGTTTTGACTGAGATAAAAAATATTTAAGTTTGCCTTAGTTCCTTATAGATAGCATATATTTTCATAACTACATGTATTTATAAAACAATTTGATACCAATCTAGTAATTTCAATTCAACTTGAAAGGATATTTTTCAAAATAATAAAAAATCTTATCGCTAACTTCAAACTGCAAAATATCCCAGATGCACTTAAGTTTGACTATGATCATCCCAGATTCTTTACACCCAGATAATCCAACTTCACTCAGCATATAAGAATATATTTACTATTAAATATTTTTAAAAAAATGAGCACCTGTCTGAGAAAAACACAAATAGTCAACAAATTTACAATATATACAAACAAATGATGAACTTTTTACGCTAACATTGGTGATTCCCAAAATATAATGGATGGAACCCTCTGCATCTCCCACCAGTACCTTGACCTTTTTCTTGGACCTCTTTGAGATGTACTGATTATACTGCAAACTGCACAGTTTGTTTCAAGTTTACTTGGCAACATTTGAATCCTATATTGTTTTGGGTTGGCATCAAAACCTCCCGAGTGTGTAGGTTTTTGACAAATTGCAAGCCATTCCTCTACCAAGCTATCAATGATCTTAGCTGTATAGTCATATCTAGATAGTATTTTCCAGCATTGTTTTCTTTGTACAATAAGTAGCTGTTCAATACCATCCTTGTTATATATTAAATACCCCCCGCCGCAGCAAACCTGCAGACTAAGCGAATTTTCATTTGACTGATTGGATTTACACTGAAATGTCTACTTAAAAATATAACATTTATTCCCTATTTAAATAGAATTAGTTTAACAAGTACTTAGGTTTGCTGCATCAGGGAGGGTAAAACAGTTTTTTTTTTTGTAAAATGTTAATAGTTAGTAAGAAATAAAAACAATTTCCAAATTTGATCAAAATATGTTCATAAACAAGCAAACTACAACAGTTTACTTATTCTCCATAAGAATAACATGGGAATTTTAAATTTAAAATTTTTTGGAATTCTCTCCGTAACCATTAGGCGCATAATAACGCTTCAATATACTAAATTATTTGTTTTTTTAAGCTCTACAAAATGGTTTGGAAAGAAATTGCTAAACTTTATGTTATTTGGGTCAAAAATGGGAAAAACCTATTTTTACCCCATAAAACCAACCGTAAACCCCCGTTCCCATGGTCCGATCATGCTGGATCGCAAACTCGTTCGAATAAACGTATGTTTACACGTTTGTACCAAATTCCATCAAAATCGGATCATTTTTGCTCGAGTTATCGTGCTAACAGACACACACACATATATATATATACAGGGTGTCCCAGAACTCCCTACCAATATTTTAGGACGTTGCTCCTGGGTAAGAAACATACCTAAATATCATATTTAAACTGTCCGGAAGTCCTTAGTTACTCACACAGCCGCCATTTTGTTTTTTCCAGTTATTAATTTTTTTCTAAAGAATGGTTAAACATACGAAATGGAAACTTTGCACAAACATTAATGACAACTAGACAAAGCTACAAAAAAATTATGAAGATTTTTCAAATTCATAAAACTAAATGGCGACCATTTAAATAGCTGGTTGTTTCTTAAATAGCTCAAAAACCGTTGATTTTATAAAAATTTTAAATGGCCGCCATTTTGTTTTATGAATTTGAAAAATCGTCATAATTTTTTTGTAGCTTTGTCTAGTTGTCATTAATGTTTCTGCAAAGTTTCCATTTCGTATGTTTAACCATTCTTTAGAAAGAAATTAATAACTGAAAAAAACAAAATGGCGGCTGTGTGAGTAACTAAGGACTTCCGGACAGTTTAAATATGATATTTAGGTATGTTTCTTACCCAGGAGCAATGCCCTAAAATATTGGTAGAGAGTTCCGGGACACCCTGTATATACAGGGTGACAAAAAGTCTGGAAACGGCTTGATATCTTTTTAACTAAATTTGTTAGAAAATTAAAACTTTTCACATCATCTTATATGTATGAAAACCACTTTTTGCAAGCATTGCCATTTTTTGACCTTCACCAGGGGACGGCCAATGAGGAGTAGGTACATAATCTTTAATGTAAGCATAGATTGATATGCACGTCATTTTAAAAATCTGGTCAAGTGGAGTTCATTGCCGGAAACCGCGTCAAAAAAGGTTCATCCGTTACAAAATGGCGGCAGTCCAAAGTTCTTGCGGAATATACCTGCAGAGGCCTTGGATTTGGTAAATACTCATATTCAACATTAGCCGGGAAATCTGAAACCCGTTTAAATTTGTTTTGAAGATTGAATAATATTAGTCTATGAGCTAGTTGACTTTAAAATACAGTTTCAGCTCTCAAGCTAATGTTTAATACGAGTATTTACCAATAGTAAGGCCTGTGCAGGTATATTCAACAAGAACTTTGGACAGCCGCCATTTTGTAACGGATCAACCTTTTTTGGCGCGGTTTCCGGCAATGAACTCGACTTGACCAGACCTTTAAAATGATGTGCATATCAACCTATGCTTACATTAAAGATTATGTACCTACTCCTCATGGGTCGTCCCCTGGTAGAGGTAAAAAAATGATAAAACTTGGAAAAAGTAGTTTTTATACATGTAAGTTGATGTGGAAGGTTTGAAATTTCTAACGAATTTAGTTAAAAAGATATTAAACCGTTTCCAGACTTTTTTGTCACCCTGTATATATATATGTGTGAAAAATAGAAAAATAGGGCTACTATATATAAATAAAGATTAAACATTAAAAAACTTAAAACTTAAGTAAAATTATTTATTAAAATATTTACTGACTATAGTTTCGGCTCTAAGGCCATTTTCAAAGTAAACAAAAATCAAAATAAGATATGTAAATAAATAAATAACATATGATATTATAAAACTTTTCTAACTTGTAACATAATTTTGTCTTCATTGATTAATTTATATACTATATGATGTGTTGTACTTATTTTCATTAATATTTTCTCAATTTCTGTTATATTTTTCAAATTATGTTACAAGTTAGAAAAGTTTTATAATATCATATGTTATTTATTTATTTACATATCTTATTTTGATTTTTGTTTACTTTGAAAATGGCCTTAGAGCCGAAACTATAGTCAGTAAATATTTTAATAAATAATTTTACTTGGGTACTAAGTTTTTTAATGTTTAATCTTTATTTATATATATATATAAATATATAAATATATATATATATGAATTTGAACGGATGGTGTTTTTGGCCTCTAGGGACCTCAAAACGAAAAAAAAAATCTGTCCCGCGTCCAGGTCTTACCATGAGTACTACGGTAATAGCTTATTCCCTATATGGGAAATTCGCTAATAAAAACTACCATTCACTGATATTTAAAAGTCCTCTGCTCGTCTAAATAACAATACAACATCATATCGTTTGTGTCGATTCCTCCCATGTACATATTGTATCGGTCTATTAGTTCTGGCTTCTGTTTTTTAATCTCTTTACCATCCCACTTTTTTTATTTATTTTTAATAGTTTTGGCTTTGTATTTTGTTAATAGTAACAGATTAGAGTGTTTCTGACTCTTTTTTCCCCTGTAGCTCAACATAAGCAATCTGCAATTGATGGCCAACCCCTAATTTCTCTTAATTTTATATGGGATTTCTTTTAGCGAATTTCCCTATAGGGAAGTAGCTATTACCGTAGGTCTCATGGTAAGACCTAAGCCCGGGACCGATTTACTTTTTCATTTTGATGTCCCCAGAGGCCAAAAACACCATTCGTTCAAATTTTTATATATCTATATATAGAGATGTATATATGTTACACTCAATCTCCGAATTCGGACAATGTCCGAAATTTCTACCCACTCCGCGATGTGGATAGAGTAAAATACCCACGTCGCGGAGTGAGCATTTTATTTCGGACATTGTCCGAAACGAAATGCCCAGACCGCGTTGTGGGTAAACTGATTTACTCAAACGCCGAAGTCAAAACCTTCTTCGGCGATTGAGCTAATTCAAAATACCCACAACGCGATGCGAGCAAAAGTGATTGTCCATGTCGGGTAGTGGGTATTTCTAGTTTGCTCAAACGCCGACTAGTAGTTTATAAACTACCGTATACCCATAAATCTACATGAAATCCACAATCAATAGGTAAAATAAATAAAATTTATGTTTTCGACTATAATTATTTAATGTATAAATAGCATTTTAGAAAATACAAGAAAACAGTAAAAACCGAATAGGAACAAATATAAAAAAGTCCATTACACATACATTGAAATTATGTTTTCCTACAGTTACCTAACAATGTACATGTTCTCTCACTGATTTGAGAAAGCAAAGTGGCCAATTCGCTCATCAGTGAGACAATTTTAACATTGTCTCACTCTAATTACTTTGTCTCACTCCAGATTTGCAACGTGAAGGCACGAAATAGTGAGCGCGTAACATGCAGGCAACGTCGTATGCGCGCGAAATACGTTGGTAGCACTGGCTGTAAATCAGCTGGTCAGCTGTTGTACTGTTGTATTTGTCACTTCACGTTAAATGTTATATTAAAAGTTCACTTCTGTGTAAACATAGGTTATGTTTCTTCACCAATTTATTTGTTTTATGGTAACTGTAGGAAAAGTATAATGTGCAACTCGAGTTCAAAGTACAATTGCCTCACTCGAGAAACCATTCCTCACTCGCCTACGGCTCGTGAGTAAGAATTTCTCTCGAGTGAGTCAATTGCTGACTTTTCTCACTAGTTGCACAAATAACTATTTCCCGCTTTACAAAAATAGGAGTAACCTTAAAACGCCAATTATCACACAGTTCTTGTTACATCTTTCTTTTACTTATTGGCACAAGAGGTGCTGCCATGGCATTGAGAATTGCATTTTACGTTTGATTTAATACATTTACATGATTTACTCAAACAGTTCTTCTTGCAAACACATCTTATAAAACCTTGTTTTTTTTTTAAGAGGTTGGCGACCTCTTTTAACCTCTGATTTGCCCATCCACATTGACCTCTGACGTCTTGATTGGCTCGTTTGACAGACCAAAACAATATCTCACAAGAGGTAATCACTGAACATATATTAACTTTACCACGTGCGTATCATTACAGGACAGCAACAGTAAAGAAAACACAATGCAGGTACAGGTCCGTCCATCCTAATCGCAGATAGTGCAAATGGTGGTGGTGACATGTCTAAACGTAAATTCGGCGTTTTCAAAAACTAGAAATACCCACAACCCGACGTGGGCAATCCCTCTTGCTCACATCGCGTTGTGGGTATTTTAGATTTGCTCAATCGCCGAAGAACGTTATGACTTCGGCATTTGAGTAAATCAATTTACCCACAACGCGGTCTGGGCATTTCACTTCGGCCAATGTCCGAATAAAATGCTCACTCCGCGACGTGGGTATTTCACACTATCCACATCGCGGAGTGGGTAGAAATTTCGGACATTGTCCGAATTCGGAGATTGAGTGTAACATATATATATATATGTGTCCATCCGCACGATAACTTGAGTAATTTTTGTCCGATTTTGATAAAATTTGGTTTAAAGGTGTAAGGCGGGATAAACTTGAATGAGTTCGCGAACCAGCATGATCGGACTATGGGAACGGGGGTTTATGGGGGGTTTTATGGGGTAAAAATAGGTTTTCCCATTTTTGACCCTAAAAACACAAAATTTCACAATTTCTTTTTAAACCATTTTGTAGAGCTTAAAAAAACAAATAATTTAGTATATTGAAACGTTATTATGCGCCTAATTGTTACGGAGAAAATTCAAAAAAATTGTAATTTTAAAATTCCCATGTTATTCTTATGGAGAATAAGTCAACTGTTGTAGTTTGCTTGTTTATGAACATATTTTGATCAAATTTGGAAAATACATTAATTTTTTACTAAACCACAGTACCTTTTAATATTTTACATAAAAAAAACTTTTTTACCCTCCCTGTTGCAGCAAACCTAAGTACTTAAACTAATTCTGTTTAAATAGGGAATAAATGTGATATTTTTAAGGAGACATTTTAGTTTAAATCCAATCAGGCAGATGGAAATTCGCTAAGTCTGTAGGTTTGCTGCGGCGGGGGTATTTGATTTCTCACCATTGTTTTAAGGTCGCAGACCTTTAACTTATTTACTACCTTTTATGATGGAACTGACTGTTTGTTTATCACTAATGCTACCGGTTGCAGGTACCTTGAGACAGTTCTCAGCAACTGGGCTTGTCTGAATGGATCTTTCCTGCTGAAGAACGACGACCACTATTGTTGCACATCCAGGCATCATGGTGTCAACTTAAATGAGGCCGATGAATGTTTCCACACAATCAGCCGGATAGAAAATGAAACACTCAAGGACCTTGTGAGTAGCACATCAATTAAACTGTTTACAACATACAACTGTATCCAAGCTTTTTAAATTTTTGTTCTTTCATATAATTAAAAATTAAATTGTATCAACTACCTTCCTGTGGTAGATAACATGAGAAAACCTAAGAAATGTTTAAAAAGTGTCTGATATTTGAATGTAAGTGCCTTAGGTTTAAAATTATTTGCATAAAAAAGTAGTTAAGCTCAAATAGGTTTGTGACTTTATCAGTAAAAGTACACTATTTAACCTTTTTGAGCTCCAAAAGCCAATACAACAGTTATTGCGAGTGACCAAATCCTCACTTATCACTATAATATATACTAGATAACCCGTTGCTCGAAATGGAACAAAACTGTAACTTGTAATAAAAGAATAAAGAACTAAAACATAAACAGCAAGACCTCAAACAAGGAGTACTAAAGTAATTTCCATGACTATTTATAGAAATATGAAATATATTATGTTGTAAAAATTCTAAAAGTAATTTACAATATTTAAATATTGATCCGCTCTCAAACTGCTTCGGTTATCTCTTTTGTACTGTAGGCCGGTGCACTCTATGAGCACGTAGATGTCATCCACAAACTGTAAAATAAACTTTTCCGACCTAATGTAGCAAACTAAATTTTTCTTCGATATGTTCTATTGTTCTATTTTAGGCGTGTTTAAATTTGGGGCCCCAACCAAAGTCTTTGGTTGGGAACATAAGAGGGTAAGCAAGTGGATCCAACGACAGATATAGAACGGATACACGTTTAACATTATTCGTTTTTGAAACAGAAAAAAGCTAAGATTTGGCCTGATGGTGATCGGTTTTCAGCTTAAAAGTAGCTGCAACATCTTTACAGGTAGCAGAGAAGTCACTTATTTTGTCCCTTATTATGTATAGGTACATAAGAATCTCACTTGACTCCTCGGAGCTCTCATCCCTACAAATTTCTGCCACAGTCTTTCCAAGATAGGGCAAATGGGTTGACATTGTGACCACTATTTCCCGCACGTTTTTTATTGCATTTATTATTTGAATTTTGTTTCATGCGCTGTTGGGTTCTAGTGCCACCGTCGTACTTATACATCTGTGCGTATTCAGGATCATGTCGTTCTTGAAGAATTAGAGGACCTACTCGGTGGTAAAACGTGTCGAATCTTGAAATTGTAGATCCCTTGTGTGATCCTCTCATCTAAATGAACTTCAGAGTTCCTGAAAGTATGGTGGATTCCACAAAAGAGGTAGGCTAAACAAACCTTTCATTTATGGCAACAAAGATTAAAAATGGAACTGTCTCTGCCAGTTTTTTCTTGCTTAAAATGTACGCCACCCCAATGTAAACATTTAACGTTCATTTGTCCGAGGTTGGATGTAGCACCACGGCACGCGGCAGGAGGCCTACTGACACTCTGTATCCGTCAATTGTTCCTTTGGGAGGTTGATGCAAGCGGTCACGTACTCGTTCCCTCCAGCGACTTACAGTTCTTCGTCTTACTGGTGGCATTTAATTTTAAATTTAAATAAAATATGAAAGAACCAAACAACACAAATGTTATGTATCAAGAAATAAGTCCATATGTTTTATTTATAACATCTGTCAGATGACTGTTAATATTATTATGTTTTGTTTACTTTTTGGTTTAGTCTGATTTGTGAGTTCAATAAATTCAGTTTTGTTAATTATGTTTCAATTTACTAAACTGGCGACGAGGATAATTGGATAATGGATCTCAATAAGCCTGATCGTTTTGACCCCCATACGAATCCTGCAAGTGTCGCACAGCGTTGGGGTACGTGGATTAAGCAATTTGAGAGGTATGCTTTAGGGCCATGTCATACGAGCGCTATTGCCGTCGCGTTAAAGTCGCTCCAACTTGGCAATGGGGTTCTTATGGAGCATGTCAAATGGACGCTAATGCCGTCGGCGAGTCCGTGTTAGCCGGACGCTGAGCGCAGCCAACGCGGACGGTCGCGCTAGCGACGCGGCGCACGTGACGCGGGACCCTGTCATACGAAGCGCTAGCGCCAGTGGGACGCATTTGCCGCGTGAGCACTGTCAGATCAATTGGAACACCTTTGGAGTGATTATTACGATATTTGATACGATGTTTGATACGGAAAAAATTATTTATTTAGTCGTCAAAAGAAGCAATTGACATTCGATAGTAACTAAAAAATGTATCTTCATACTTCCTGTGTTGCTGGAACATCAGATGGAACTGTCTTGTCGACAAACGATAAGAAAGCACAGGATGGGTTCCCCATCGTCTTGGATTCTTCCTATAATACTCTTCATATGTATCTAAAATGTGCATAACACTGATACAACCTAACTGGATAGTGTCCATCTTGAACATAATTGCCGCGACGGCAAATGCGCCCGAAAGACGCTACGTATGACAGGCACCTGACGTTGGCGGGACGGCATCAACGCGACGCATTTGCCGTCACGTATGACATGTACCTTTTCCGGCGCTATCTCAACGGCATCTGCGCGACGGCAATAGCGCTCGTATGACATGGCCCTTAGCTGCAGTCATTACCAATGATGTAAGGAAAACTGCACTACTACTTAATCTAGCTGGTGAGAATGTGGCTTACATTTTTGACAGTTTACCACAACCTAATGAAATAACGTACAAAAATGTTATAAAACTATTAACTGACTATTTCGCTCCTACCAAAAATGTCCTTTTTGAAATATTTAATTTTAGGAAGTGTCATCAAGCAGAATCAGAGTCGTTTAACTCTTTCTATTCTCAAAATAAAATTTTGAAAGAACCTACTATTAAACTTCAGGATGTTGTTATTGCAGCTAAGTCAAATTAATTATTTCAAACTCAAAGTAAGGAACTTTCTTTCAGTAGCTCAAGTTTTGCTAATGCACATAAAATTGACCATTCAAACAGGAAATTTGTTGCATTTAACAACAATCCAGCTCACTCTGTTACACCTAATGTTTGTCTTGGTTGTGGACTAAGACATTTTAGAAGGGATTGTCCCCATCTTCAGACTACTTGTAATATTTGTAAGAAAATTGGGCATCTAGCACGAGTTTGTAAAGGAGGGAAACCACGCCCCAAAGAATATTTTAGCCAAAAACACGGATCAAAGGGACAGCGGGCTCATGAAGTTTTGTCAGAGGAAACCAATTGTGAACAAGAAGAAAGGTTTCCACCTCAATCAAATAACGAAACAACTCAATACGTCCAGGAAGTTAACTGCACTAAAGTACCGGAACTGTGTACAACTGTCAACATAAATAATCAAAAAGTTCTAATGGAAGTTGATACTGGTGCAGGTGTTTCTATCATAGGAGGAGAACTATGGAATACAATTTCTCATAAAAACTGTAAACTGCAACCTTCTCCTTGGAAACTCAAGGATTACAGTGGTAAACCTGTAAGTGTTTTAGGTCAGACTAATGTTTATGTGAAATACGGTAAGTTCAATGGTTTCGTTCCGTTAGTCATAACTGAAGGTAATAGAAATAGTTTATTGGGGCGTAATTGGCTAAAAAGTCTTAACATAACATTGAAGTAAACGGAGTACTTTCAATCAACTGTCATGAATCTGAAGTTCTTAGTAAAGCCCAGCTGGATGTTCAACATCTGAAAATTGAATTTTCCGATGTATTTTCAAATTCTTTAGGGTATAAAGGACCTCCAATCGAACTGAAAATTGACCAGAATTTACTTATATGGGAGGCATTTTGAAATTAGAACAGATCATAAGCCACTTCTGGGTCTTTTCACTGTGGATAAACAAACACCAAACACACTGTCACCTCGAATGATTCGCTGGAGTATCCTTTTAAATGGATATGACTTTGATCTTGTATACAAACCGGGGATTTCTATTCCGAATGCTGATGGTTTGAGTCGTCTTCCATGTTCCTCCAATGTTGTTGATCAAGAGATAAATGAAGTCTTGAATGACGTGCTATACATTGAATCCGATGAGGTTAAACCAATCACCGCTAATATAATAGCAAAAGAAACAGAAAAGGATCCACTTCTATCTAAAGTACTATTATGGACTCAACGTGGTTGGCCAACTCATAACTCAGATCTCAACCTTACGCCTTTCATTTCTCGTCAAAATTCAATTTCTCAATACAAACAATGTTTACTTTGGGGAACTAAGGTGATCATTCCATCCACTCTCAGGCCATCTTAGACAGAGTTCACCCAGATTATTCTTCAAGTGACAAAGAAGAGAAAATCTTGGATAAAGCGCTTCACGATTACCAACAGTCACCTCAGAGGAAATTTAAAGAAAATGACTCCGTATTTGCAAGAAACTATAATCAGCGAGGACCAAAGTGGATTCCTGCTAAAGTGACTAGAATAACCGGGCCGCTGAGCTACCATTTGATAACAAAAGAAGGCATTGAAATCCGACGTCATATCGACCAATTGAGACCTCGCTCAGAAACATCAAAAGCATCTACTAACTCACACTTGGATAATCCTGAATCTCCAGTAAACCCACCGTTCCACCCACTACTCCAGAATCCTATTCAAATGAGAACATCAGAAGCACATCATATCACTCCAGTGCAACCACCATCTATGGTTCGCAATCCTATTATGATGAGAACACCAGACGTACAACTAATGCGACCATCAGTGATGCAACAATCTCGCAATTCCTTTAGTGGTATAGAAGGTTCAATTAACCCTCATCAAGATGATGCTGGTTTCAACGTTTCTGGTTTGATTCAAGACTCCACTAGCATGAGCACGAGTCCACAACCTGTTCGGACACGTGTCTTTAGATCAAACTTCCAAAACACTTCAATGAGCATGAGTCCTCGACCTGTTCGTATCCGTCGACCACCGGCATATCTGAAGGACTACCTAACGGGGGGAGGACGTGTTATGTATCAAGAAATAAGTCCATATGTTTTATTTATAACATATGTCAGATGACTGTTAATATTATTATGTTTTGTTTACTTTTTAGTTTAGTCTGATTTGTGAGTTCAATAAATTCAGTTTTGTTAATTATGTTTCAATTTACTAAAAGAAACAACTACAAAGGAATGTTGATACGCTTAGTAAATAACGGGTGACCGCACTGTGAATAATCACTTTTAAACATTCACTTCATCACATCGAACCGTAACCAAAACCACATGATATTTCAGTAAAATACTATATAAGGTAAAAAACTTTGTTGTCAAGTCTTGCTAGGAATCTCTTTATTTGTCAACCGGACTCAGTTAACAGATGTTAAAATAAAAATAAAAATTCTGTCTTTGCTCTGGAAGTAATACGTCCTGCAGCCGGTTAACCTTAAAACAACTTCAAACTACGTCCATATGTTTAGTTGTAAACAAAGGGAATTAAGTTTGGTCTATAATGTCAACAGATAGCGCCGCCGTTCCCAAACTTTAGCCCTAAACTGTACTTAAGGTATGCCCTTTCTTAATATTCTGAGACGTAGTTGCACATCTACATAAAAATACCTTTAGATTAGGGATGGACGAGATTGGATTTTTAGTTCGAGACAAGACGAGACAAGATTTTTTATTTCTCATAAAATTTCGAGACGAGATCGAGACGAGATTTCTCTTCTCATACACAACGGGAAATGCACGTTCGAAATTTTTACCTGATTTTGTAACATTGTTAGATGACTGTTTAAATACTAAAATAATGATAATAGGCAAGAATATTTACAATCTTTCATTAAATAACATCAGCATAACATTTTTTTATTAATCACGCCTAACTTATTAAAAATGCCTACGATTAGGAAACATGGTGATATCAGTTAGGATAGAGTTCAACTTATCCTAAAATAAAATAAATCATAAAATAAAAGCAATATTAATTTTTATAAAATAGTTACTTGTTTTGAATTTTTTTATAGTAATAAAACATTCCTCACACTGCTTACACTTAACAAAACTTCTCAAATGTTATTAAAGTAATATTATTAAAATAATGAAAGTAATATTTACATTAAAAGAATTAAAGTAATATTTACATTAAAAGAATTAATTAAATAAGAACGCCTACGAAAAGGAAACGCAACTACAACACGCTCCTGTATTGCGGGTATTGCATTGACTTTCTGCAGGCGTTTTTAATTTTTTTTTTTTTTTTTTTTTTTTTTATTCTCGTCTTGATAAAAATCTCGGCCAAAAAGTAATCTCGTCTCGTGTAACGAGATTGAAAATTTCCCGAAAATTTCCCGAAATTTCGAGACTTGACCATCCCTACTTTAGATAGACATAGACATAGACATACTTTATTTGCACAAAACATTCCATACATGTAAAAGCATTTAGAATAGGCGCATTGTCAAAATTATATCCATACATAAAATATTTAACATTTAAACTTAACTTAAAATTAAACACTTAAAATGAAAAATGTTCTAAATTGAAGTTTTGTAAAAATCTTCAGTTAAGTAAAAACTAAAAAGCCTTGTCAATAAGTAAATTATCTATTGTCTCTTTAAATTTGTTTTTGCTTAGTGACTTATAGCACATTGTACAATCTCAGCCCAGCATACAATGAAGATTTTTCATATAGGGTCAAACGGTGTTTGGGGAGGTCTAAATATATTTTCATTTTGGGTTTCATACCTGTGATTAAAATGTATTGTTTCTGGTAGCTCATTTTTAACTGAATGTATGTAGTTTAATAATTCTAGAATATACAACCCCGTTAATGTCTGAATTTTTAAATTTTGAAAATGTTTCTTACAAGAACTGCGTGGATGAGAGTTGGTGATAATGCGAATAATACGTTTTTGAAACCTGAATATAGTTTTAATACCAGTAGCTTGACCCCATAAAATTATGCCATATCTTAATAACGACTCCACATAAGCATGATAAACGACTTTAAGTGTCTCAATAGAAACACAGTCCCTTAAATGTATGAATAAAGATGATATCGACCTAATTTTGGTATGTAAATAATTCAAATGTGAATACCATTTAACTATAAGATGGCTAAGAGAACTATGAGACTATGTCATCTACATAAACCCCTAAGAATTTATGAGCTTCAACTAAACTAAAAGAACCGTTTTCCATATTTTTGTGTCTAGTAGAAAATTTAATAATATTTGTTTTTTCAACATTAAGTTTTAACCCATTTTATAAAATAAAAACCATGGATATAATTTCCCATGGTGAATAATGTTTATTGTTATCTTCTAAAATTAAAGTTCTTTGTTTTTCTTTCAGAAAGGTATGATTGTATTAAAGAAAAGCAACTTCCCCCAATCCCATAATCATTAAGTTTCAGCAACAGGAGTGAGTGATCCACACAGTCAAAAGCCTTAGACAGGTCACAGAAAACACCTGCTGTGGCCTGAGACCTGTCCAAGGCCTCTGCAATCTCATTTAACAAACTGAGTGAGAGCAGAAACTGTGCTTAAGTTTTTTCGGAAACCAAATTGTTTATTGTAAAATAAATTATTATTTTCAAAATAATTAACTAGTCTACAGCTTATTACTTTTTCAAATATTTTAGAAAAATTACTTAATACTGATACTGGACGGTAGTTATTACAGTAATATCTGATTTTGAACCTTTCTTTAAACACTGATTTATAATAAGAGATAAGGGTTCGGAGATAATGTCAGCAGCAGATTTGATCAGTTTAATTGGGATTTCGTCCCAGCCTACTGAAATTTTGTTCTTTAGACAAAGGATGACCTTTTTTATTTCATCTTTATTAGTGAGACTAAGATTGCACAATGTTGTAACCCCACCATCACTGCAGTATGATTTTACAGACGAATGAACACCATTGACGGAAGCCTTTTTTACATTCAGATTAATAACTGTATTACTGAAAAAAACTGTTAAAAAGTTAAGCTACATTATCTGGATTATCAACAGTGGTTTGGTTTGTATCATCTTTTAAAATAATTTTGTCTCTTTGAGTACGGTTCAAGCCCAGTTCATTGTTAACAATTTGCCAAGCTGCCTTAGATTTGTTTTCAGATTTTATAATTAGGTTATTATATTATTTGAGAGAATTTTTGAATTTTTTATAACTTTATTAAATATTTTTTATTTTTTTATATTGTTTGACATTGGATATAAACTCTTGGCTTTTACTAAACTTGGCTTCCAAGTTTAGTAAAAGTAAAAGTTTAACGTTTGACACCTCAAACGTTAAAATCTGTCAAGCCGTTATCGAGTTATGACTGAAAAGAAAACTGCTTGCGTATTGATATATAGACGTGAGTTATAACCAAACAAAAACGGTTAACGGTTTATCAGATCAAAAAATTTTAAGTTTAATATATTTTATTAAGTGTCAAAAATAGGTTTCTTTTTGTTTAGATCAAAGACTCATTCCTGGGCAACATAATCCCGCAGATGGCTGTTCCGTCGCCCCCGGACGTAGAGACATTGAGAGTGTTCATTACTGTTCCGCTGTACCATGAGTTCAACAACGCTAAGAACTGTGACAAGTTACAGACACCATTCGCATCAGCAGTGCTCGCACTCAGACCTGAGGCTGCCAGGGTAGTAGGTGTGTTAGTATGGATAAATTTGATTTTAGCCAAAAACTGCTTCATTGTCTAACTATTTTTTCTTTGTGTTCTGGTTCATGCCTTCATGCCATCCTTAGGTAGAGGAGTGGCACTGCCCTTAAAAGGTTTTGATTTGAAACTATGTTGTAGGGATGGACAAGATTAAATTCTTAGTTCAAGACGGGACGGGACGGGATTTTTATTTCCTTCCCAATTTACGAGACGGGACGGGACGGGATTTTTCCTGTGCATAAAAAGAAAGTCTTTAAATATTACAGTTACAAAAAAGAAAAAAGAAAAAATTTATTCTTACCATTTGTGGCACTGATCGATTAAAACAAAAAAGTGGGTAAAAATTTACAGGTATAGAAACTTGTGACTTGCGGTCATGGTGCGATCGTCAAAATGACTCGCGGTCACGGCGGGATTGTCGGTATGACTCCGCAGTCACCTCAAGATCGTTGAAATGACTCCTCGGTCACGGCAAGATTGTCGGTATGACTCCCCGGTCACGGCACGATTGTCGGTATGACTCGCGAAGCGGCAAAATCGCCGACGATCGGATCAAATCCCTTCCCGAATCAAATGTAATCGCGTCCCAAAATCGGGAATATTTTTTTCCCAAAAATTTTCCGAAATTTTGGGACCCGTCCATCCCTACTCTGTTGCTTTTCTCTTCAATTGTGATAATATTCTAAGATTCACATACTTATAAATTCCTAGATTATTTAAAATTTGTTATAAAAATATGTATATACTAGCTTACTCCGTCGTGGCTTCGCTCACCAAAATTGAAGTTAAACATAATTATGTAACCACATAACTTAATTAAACTGTTTAAAAAATATGATATTCTATGAATTAATTCTTTAAATTAAGTTCTTTAATTTAAAAGCCACTCCACCACTATTCAAGCCTATAGTTAAAACCCATAAAGACGGATTGCCTATCAGACCTGTCATTAATTGCATCCCAGCTCCATCGTACAATTTAAGTAAATACCTAGCTAACATGCTTAAGTCTAAACTAGATATGACTTCCGATAACACTTGTCAAAACTCCATAGAATTTATTGAATCATTAAAACCAAACAAACATGACCCAAACAGTATCTTATTATCAATTGATGTTGATAATATGTACGTAAACATACCTCCCAACGAAGCTATTGACGCATTAGTTATAAAATTACAACAGTCTGAACAATTCTCTGAACATGAAATACAGGACATTAAGACAATGGTAGAAGAAATAACCAAACAGAATTATTTCGAATGGAACGGTAAAACATACTGCAACCCAAAGGACTGCCTATGGGTGGCCCCTTGTCGGCTCACCTAGCTGAAATCTATTTACAACAGTTTGAGAAAAATAACATTTTAACGCCAACTAACCCCCACCACCGTAAAATTCTATTCTACAGGAGGTATGTTGATGATTCGTTTATCGTGTTTAAAGGAACTAAACGACAGGCAAATGTTTTCTTAAAGTATCTGAACAACATTCATAACTCCATCAAATTTAAAATGGAATTGGAAGACAACAACTATTTAAACTTCCTAGACGTCTAAATAACCAAAGTAAACAATAGTAACTATGAATTTGGCATCTACAGAAAACCAACACAAACTGACCTAGTGATACCTAAAAACTCCAATCATCCATATCAGTATAAGTTATCAGCATTCCGATCTATGGTCTACCGACTTCTCACATATAACCTTTGTTCCCGTGAATTCGAAAAAGAAAAGAATATAATCAAACAAATTGCTTTCAACAATGGCTACGATATTCAATTAATTGACAATTTAATTAGGAAAGCAAAGCACAACCTACATAAACCACAAGATCATTCCATAAATAAAAAATATATCCCTTTCTGTTATGTAAACAAATTTTCTGAAACAATCGGCAATATTTTTAAAAATAATGGTTTCCAGCCTGGTTACAAACTCAACAGAAAACCTATACAAGGGCAGAAACAATCAATAGATAAAAAACAGGATAAAGGGGTATATCTGATTCAATGCAACAATGGCGACAAATGTGACAAAAAATATGTTGGATACACTAATAGGTAATTTTATCAAAGGTTCAAGGAACACAATGCCACCAAGCAAGTTAATCCAACGTCGATTGTTGCTCAACATCTTCAGAGTAATAAGGATCACAAAATTGATTTTGAAAAATCATTAAGTGTTTTAAAAAGTTGTAGCCAAAAAAACAAAGCAAAAGTATGGGAGGAGTTATTTATTTTCCAACATATGAGAGGACACGGCAATGAAACTATGTTAAATAAAAGAGAGGAATATTCAGACAAAATAACCTATCAGCTGTTCTGTGATGTAGATAACAAAACTGGAAATAAGAACCGCCAGTCAGCTGATACCGTGACGTCACTCTCCCGTGTTCAAGTTCAAGTTCCTCAGTAGGCCTACAAATGTCGCCCGGTCGAGGTTATCTTCATTTAACCGTGCGTACGCAAACATGTTTACGGTACCTACAACTGCAAAACGCGTGTATGTTCTTTGTATATATTTCCGTGTGTTCGTGTGTGTATATATAAACTGTAAATAGTCGACAAACATCGTTTGATGTGATTTTTTTAAATTCAAGAATGCTGCTGAAGATGAGCTGTAAGTAGCTCGAAACATGTACAGGATATGTTAACATCTGACACCTTCAGGCAAAAGTAAGTGAATCTTACCTATAGTAAAAAATATTAAAGGTGTGTCAAGGCTGATATAAAATTAATCTTTAATTCCATTTAAATATGAGTACTCATAAGGTTAACATGGGAAACTCCAGAGCCACTGGGGCGGAGCCCTTTTGACGGATCTGCACCAAACTTCACACAAACCATCCTTGAATAATGTGAGCCGTGACTATTTCCACCGGGCGAATGTCACGACTCATGATCCATGGTTCTCATTTTGTTAAGTAAAGTTTTGTGAGCCGCTCCTCGGGCCTGCGCATGGATCACGCTTCCTTTTCGTTAGTCTGGGTGCAGGCGCGAGGGCATGGTTCATCTGGTAGCAGAGCGTGGTTAGTGGGTTGCGTCCTGGGTGCCTTGTCGTGAAACTTGGTTTCACGACTCGGATACTTAGAGATGCGATCGCTGTCCGCGTTCTGTTTTTTGTTTTGTTTTGAAGAGCCGTGGATGGATTGGTTTCTTGGAAATGTTCTGGCCTGGCAGTTTTGGAAAAAGGTCTTGTTGTTGTTGTGGTGGGGCGTAAACACATTTTATTAGGAGCTCGCCCTTTGGCCGAGGCACCGAGTGGAATCGGTGGTAATGACTTGCATCCTTCGGGAGCAAGAGTGTCAAAAGCATGGTCATGTGTCAAAAAAAAAAAAAAAAAAAAAAAAGTTTGTGTGTACACCCCATCACACAAGTGTTAGGTGTTGTCTAGTGTATGTATCGGTGTATGTTTGTGTGTGTGTACGTTCGTGGGTCATTTGTTGTTGTTTTTTCTTGCGGTACTTGCGGTATGAATGGGCAGGTTCTTCTTTTGGGCCCCATCAGGTGCGTAGGCATCAACGTCCAGAAGCCTTAGGAATTAAATTTCTGTGTTTGTTTTGTGAAAAAATTTTTGTTGTCTGTTTTGAGTCAAGTACTGGTTGAGACTCGGTATGGCGTCAATTGTGCCGGAATATTTGAGGAAGCCGGAGCTGGTGTACGAGGTGCGGTCCCGGGGGGAGACTCCTGGAACTGATGTACGCACTTTGCGTACACAGTTCAGACAAATTGCTAGCATGCCTCAAGCTTGGGTTGAGTCGCTCAGTTTGGATGAGGAACTGGAGGCATGTAAAGAGAGGATGGAAGAGCTAAGTGGGGAAATTGATAGTTGGAGTAGTTTGCCTATGGGCTCAGCTAGGGGTTCGGCTATCACACAGCTGACGCACTGGCGTAAGCGTCTGCTCTTGGTTTCAGGGCAACCTGAAATCCAAGATGAGGACAAGAGCTGGGTGGAAGCCAGAATTCTTGAGCTGGAAGGAATTTTGGAGAGTATTAAGGCAGGAAAGTCTGTCAAAGAGAAAGTCGAAATTTTTGAAGACAACCGTTCTTTGGAAATTTCAAACGAAGTGCCAAAGTCTGTTGTTGAAGTTGTGGCTCCAGTGGGTACCCCCCAGGCTCCGCCTACGCCAAGTACACTGCTCCAGTTGCCTGCAAATGTTCAAATGTCAAATGCAAATGTCACACCGTCCCCCTCTCACACGTCCACCTTGGCTGCGGCTACGCTGAATGTCCAGTCTCCATCTCCCTTTCCTTCTCAAGTTCATAGTTCCCCTTCCATCTCTAACTCCTTTGGCAAACTTCCCCATCCCCTTGCCTCTGTCCTGAGTGGTTTCCGGCCGGTGGACGGGTTAGATGTGAATGGTCTTTGTTTTTTTCTGGAGAGTGTTTTGCGCATGCGTGAATACCCTGGCATGTCAGACGCAACTTTGATGGAACTCATTGCTCCATACTGTCTGAAACCGTTGGGGGACAGATTGCTTGATTGTTTGCGCAGAGGCGTCACCTTTGATGTTTTTCATAAAGAAGTTTTGGAGCTTTTCATGCCCCGTCGGGTCATGGAGAAGCTGAAAGTTGAGAGAGTTTTTCGTCCTCAGCAGCCAGCCGAGTCTCTCAGCCAGTACGTGGGGGACATTCGCACGGTGGAAAGGGTCTTGCGTTTGGGGATCAGTGAGCTTGAGCTCATTGACATTGTGCTTCAGGGGTTGAAGCCTGAGGAACGCTCCCGTCTGGTTTTTGCACCACGGCCTTCATCTTTTGCGGATCTGGACAGACTTTCCATCCTTTCGAGATCTGTCCAGGACGCTGATTTTCAGAGAGACCAAGCGGCGGGGCATCTTCCCCTAGCTGGTCATCATGCTGTCGTAGCACCCGTGGGGTTGGGTCCTGAACCGCCGCAGTGGCAGAGGCAACCTGTCGTTTGTTTTGGTTGTGGGCAACCAGGTCACATTCGGCGGCATTGCCGTCAAGGTGGAAATTTTGGAC